TCATTCCCAAATGGGATTATAACTGCAGGCATAGAGATTAAGATTTACAACACTTATTTTTTGGGAACACAGTTCACTCCATGCCACTTCTACTCTGCTCCATGGACTGAGTATGAGTTGGAATCAATTCAACAACACAACAGCAGCAGCAGTTGTGAGAAACAGAATGAATATTGAGGGTTGAAGACATTTGTAGGCAGGTGGGCCAAGTGGCTGCTATGTATAAAATAGACTATTAGGGAATCACCAACTACTTAGTGCCTGTGGGGTTGATGTTTTGGGATAAACGGAACTCTTTTGCTTAAAGAGTAAAGTAATGTTACAAGTAACTAAAACAAGAATAAGTAAAGAGGCCCTCATGCACTCCAAAGTGTTCACTAGGGCATAACAGATAACTCCGTCATTGGATAAACTAATATGTTCATGGTAATACTTGAGTAATCTATAATGATTAAGTTAGCCACTTTAGACAGTCTTTGGGGGATGCTTTTAAAAATTATCTCAGTAAACCTCATTTTGTAATAATTTTAGATTTAAAAACAAATTGTAAACATAGTACATAGAGTTATTGTGTATCCCCTCCAACAGTTTCTGGGGGATGATTTTGATAATCCTGATCCCAGGAGAAGTGCTCAGGAAAAGAAATGATGTTTCTTTTCTTCCCCCCTCTGCCTGTTTCCCTGTATTTGGCAGACACAAGAAAACTTCCCTCTGATTTAGAGCTGAGTCCAAAATAATAGAGTCAGGAGATGTTTGGGGAAGGCTGTGATGGGGCTTCTGCCTCTGAAACATTTTTTGAAGCCCAGTTTCTCCTCTCCCACTTCCCTCTTCAGATTAGTCAAAACTACAATTCCAGCTGTTTAGTGTTAGATCTCAGGGGAACAACAAGGGCTGTTAAATCTCTTTCTCAGTGCTTCTTTAAAAAAGCAGTAAAAACAATTACCAGGTCATGTTAGCAAGAACAATTAAAGGTGATCTTAAACTCGTAAAACTACTGAGATTGAAGTGTCTATGTTGAGTGAGATATACTAGTATTTAAAAATTTACTCTTCTCTATGCTTTGTCTGTCGGAAGGAAGATGGGCAATTTACTTCCGTAGTGATACTGCCTCAGAAACCCAAGGAGGGGTCGCTATGAGTTGGGTCCGACTCAACGGCACATAACAACAACAACATGCTTTGTCTGAGGAGCCTTGGTGACACAAACAGTTAAGCTCTTGGCTACTAACTGAAAGGCTGGCAGTTTGAACCCACTCGGTGGCTCTGTGGGAGAAAGACCTGGCGACCTGCTTCTCTAAAGATTACAACCAAGGAGACCCTATGGGGCAGTTCACTATAAGTCAGAATTGACTCAATGGCACCTGACAATATGTACTTGTCTATTCTAGATCCTTTGTATAAGTGGGATCATACAATATCTGTCCTCTAATATCCCCTAATATCTTTTTGTTTGTGTTCACAGGATATCAAGTAGTTAAGAGTATGACTTTGTAGCCACAATTTCTAGGTTTGAATCCCAGCTCTGCCATTTACTAACCATGGGATTTAGGGCAAGTGACTTAACCTTCCTGTGCCTCAGTTGCCTCATCCGTAAGATGGGGCTAAGAGTATTCCCTATCTCATAGGGTTGTTGTGAGGATTAAATGGATTTATGTGTAAAGTATTTGGAATGGCGTCTGGCTCAATAAATGTTCAAAAGAAAAAAAAGCCAAACCCAGTGCCTTCGAGTCAATTTTAACTCATAATGACCCCTAGGACAGAGTAGACCTGCCCCATAGAGTTTCCAAGGCTGTAAATCTTTATGGAAGTGGTTTTCCCACAGAGCAGCTGGTGGGTTCGAATCATCCACCTTTTGGTTAGCAGCCCAATGCTTTAACCACAGCACCACCAGAGCTCCTTGCCAATAAATAGTCACACTCACTGCCATCCAGTCGATTGAGGCTCATAGTGACCCCCTCTTTGGGTTTCTGAGGCGGTATCTCTAGGAAGTAGATTGCCCAGTCTTCCTTCCAAGGATTAGATACTGTTATTCTTGGCCTCTGGGGTTTGGGGAAATGGATTAAATGAGCCATTAGAAACACTAGTTGCTGTTGATTAAAAAAAAATTATTTCTTATGCTTGATTTGAACAGGAACTCAGCCACCCGTGACCAATTTGAGTGTTTCTGTTGAAAACCTCTGCACAATAAAATGGACATGGAATCCTCCTGAGGAAACAAGCCCAAATTGTAGTGTGTGGTATTTTAGTCATTTTGTCAACAAACAAGATAAGGTAAGTTTTCTGGAGTGTATTGCATTGATGAAGTAAAATGAACACTATGAATCTGAGCCAAGAACAAGCAAAATTCTAACCTTAATTCAATTTCGTTCTGCTGTGCATAGGGTCACTGTGAGTCAGAAATGACTTGATGGCACCTAGCAACAACAACAACAACCTTAATTCAAAGCGGAAATGTTATGTTGTAGTCTGCTCAAATTTTGTGGAGAAATTATAGAATCAACTATTGACAGAATTGAACATTTAAAAATATTGGCTAGTTGTTTGATAATTAAATGTAATTGAAATTTCTCTGATAGGAAATTCCAGATATTTTAATCTATTAGTCACTCAATAAATAATTGTATGTTAAAATTTGTTCCCATGTTCATCTCTGTAACTGTATCATTTGTATTTAACACTTCCAATTTCTCAGAGAATTTTCACAATTACCATCTTGCTAAAGATATGCACAGACAGGTATTTCAAGACTTCCAGTAAGATGGAGGAATAGGCAGACAAGCAACACAGGCCCTCTTCAACAAAGAAAAGAAGAACCAATTGACAGAGATACAGAAGCTAATCCTGGAGCCCTGAGCTTTGAAAGGAACTATACAGAAGTGGATTAGGCACCAACTGGTGGGAAAACCTGAACGAAAACAGTGAGTGCAGAGATGGTCGGAGCTGCAGACTGTCAGCTACACTGATGGGACCAACAGCCTGAATATTTCCGTGTGGTGTTGGGACCTGAGAATTGACCTAAAGATCAGCCCCAGTCACCAGGGGCTACAGGGATGACTGCGCTGGTGGCCTGTGACTAGGAAGGGAAACAGCAAGGAAGGAGACAACCTGAGCTGTTGACTTTCTGCTGTCCAGGGGCTGCAGCCATTTTGATTGTTTACAAGTGGTGGCCATTTTGGATATTTAAAGTGACTGAGAGCACAGCCATTTTGAATCTTCATAAGTGGCAACCATTTTGGATTTTAAAGTGATAGCATTCTGATAGGGATCCCAGGGACCTAAGAATAGGCTCTGTTTGCCAAGGTTGGCAGGGACTTATGAGAGGCTGACAAAAGGAAAGAAGACAGGTGGTGAGTGTCTAAGTGCTGTCAACTAGTGATTAGAGGAGCACAGCACAGTACCCTGCTTGTGTAGATAACATACAAAGAAAACAAAAATCGTGGGCAAGCCACTCCAATATACAATTACCAGTTAAATACAAAGACAAAAACAATGCCTTGGAGACAACAGAACATCACAGTCCACACAAAGAAACAAGATAAAGCAGGAGAAACAAGGGACCAGGATACAGACCCCAAACACA